GGATAAACGAAAGGTGGTATATAGTCATGTGTCACATAAAGATGTATGGGTAAATGATGGACCGCATATACTACAGTAGTCTCATAAGATTAGAATGGAGCTACCCTACATAGGTGTACTATTTTTTATCTTTTATACTGTATTTTTAATATACCTTTCCTATGTTTACTTATGTTTATTTTCTTTTTTCTTTTTTTTTAATGGGTACAGACTTTCTGTTTGGGGTGATGAAAGGTTTTGGAAACAGTGATATGGTTGTACAACATCACGGATGTAATTAAAGACACTGAACTGTACCCTTAAATATGGGTAAAATGGAAATTTTGTTGTATTTATTTAGCACAAAACGGGGGGCACCGAACAGACCCCTTACCAAAAACAACATATGGATGGTAAATAACTCCTGGAAAAGATGCTAACATCATTACTCAACAGAGAAACGCTAACTAAAACAAGGAGATACCTCTAAGAATAGCTACATACCCCGAGAATGGCTAAAATTCACAAAACCAAACATACCAACTGCTAGCATTAATGTGGAGGAATTGGAACTCTCATTCACTGCTGGTGAGAATGTAAAATCATAAAACTATTTCCTTTTTTTTCTTTGAGACAGAGTTTTGCTCTTGTTGCCCAGGCTGGAGTACAATGGCACGATCTCGGCTCACTGCAACCTCCACCTTCCGGATTCAAGAGATTCTCCTGCCTCAGCCTCCCGAGTAGCTGGGATTACAGGCATGCACCACCACGCCTGGCTAATTTTCTATTTTTATTAGAGACGGGGTTTTCCATGTTGGTTAAGCTGGTCTCGAACTCTCGAATTCAGGTGATCCGCCCGCTTTGGTCTCCCAATCCTTTTTTTAATTTAACCTTCATCCCTCTTCTCCTCTCCCTCTTTTGAAGTCCCTGGTGTCTAGCATTTCCCCCTTTATGTCCACATATGCTCATTGTTTAGCTCTCAGATACAAGTATTTTAGAAGATAGCTGGGCAATTTTCAAAATGTTAAACACACATCTACCATATAATCTCTATCCATTCCATTCCTAATTATTTACCCAAGAGAAAAGAAAGCTTCTTGTACACGAATGTCACAGCAATTTTCATTGTAATAGCAAAAACTGTAAACATGCCATATGTTCATCAATAGGCGAATGCATAAACAAATTGTGGTAAATACATACAATGGAATACTACTTAGCAATAAAAAGGAATACTACTGATACACACAGTATTTTTGCTAAGTGAAAAAAGCTAAATCCCTAAGAGTACATATTGTATGATTTTCAATTGTGTAAAATTCCAGAGCATGCAAACTTATCTTTTTCTCTTTTTCCATCCCCCTTATCTCTGAAGCAAACCTATCTATTGTGACAGAAAGCAGATCAGTGGTTGCCTGGGGACAAGGTAAGTAGAGGGAGGAATTACCAAGAGGCACAAGGAAAGTTTTGGGGATGACAGATACATTCACTAACTTGGCTGCAGTGATAGTCTCACAAGAGGATATATATGTCAAAACTGTACACTTGGCCAGGCGCAGTGACTCACATCTATAATCCTAGCACTTTGGGAGGCTGAGGTGGGTAGATTACCTGAGGTCAGGAGTTTGAGACCAACCTGACCAACATGGTAAAACCCTGTTTCTGCTAAAAATACAAAATTAGCCAGGCATGGTGATGCATGCCTATAATCCCAGCTGCTTGGAAGGCTGAGGCAGGAGAATCACTTGAACCCAGGAGATGGAGGTTGCAGTGAGGGGAGATCGCATCATTGCATTCCAGGCTGGGCAACAAGTGCGAAACGCCATCTCAAAAAAAAAAAAAAAAAAAAAAAGAACAAAACAAATAAAAAACTGTACACTTTAAACATGTGTAGTTTATTGTATGTCAATTATACCTAATAAAAAATGATTGGCTTGAAAACAAGTAGGCAAGCAATTAATATTTGCTGAATGAATGAACAAATGATCAGTGCATTCAGGAACCAAGACAGCCCTAGAAAGAAAGGTCAGAATCAGATCTGGATGGTCTGAACACAAGGCTAACATTCTTGGACTTTATCCTTTATGTAATAAATTTCTGAGGCTTCTGGCAAAAAAAAGACACCAAAGAAAAATATTAATATAGCAGCAGGACAGAAAATGGACTGAAGATAAGAAAAGACTCAAACCTGAGAGATCAGATAGAAAGTAATTAAATAATCTAAGCATGAGGTAACCAATGTTCATACTTCTCTATTAGCACGCTAATGATAAAAACAGAAAGGTAAAACAAATATAAGTGAAACCGGGAGATAATAACTAATTGCACTTAAAAATCATTGGTATAGGCCAGGCGCGGTGGCTCATGCCAGTAATTCCAGCACTTTGGGAGGCCAAGGAGGGCAGATCAGTTGAGGTCAGGAGTTCAAGACCAGCCTGGGCAACACAGTGAAACCCCATCTCTACAAAAAAAAAAAAACATATATATACACACACACACACACACACACACACACACACACACAAATAGCTGGGCATGGTGGAGTGCGCCTATACTCCCAGCAACTCGAGAGGCTGAGGCAGGAGAATCGCTTGAACCTGGGAGGCGGAGGTTGCAGTGACCCGAGATCACGCCACTGCACTTTAGCCTGGGCAACAGAGCGAGACTCCATCTCAAAAAAATAAAAATAGAAAATAAAAAAATCACTGGTATAAAGTTTCCAGTTTGACTGGCAGAACAGAACAAAAATAATGAACTTAGAGTTGGTTTGAGAAAATAACACGAATAATTTGATCTTCAACAAAGTTCAAGATGCTAGAAGGACAACAAGACAAGACATCCACAAGTTAGTGCTGAAGGAATAGATTTAGGAGCCATGCAGAGAGATGATAGCTAAAGCTGCTAAAGTAAATCAAATTTCCTAAAGTAGATGAACACTCCCAGAAACCTCAGAGTAGAGAACGAAGCAACAAGATCTTAAGAAATTAAGACATAAATGCATTTAAGGGGCAGGAGGAAGAAGATGTAACAATGAAAAAATACAGAATCAATGAGGCATAAGGTAACAACCAAACACCATAAGCATATGGGACCTTCATCAAAAAAATCAGCCCAGATCCAGATTCTACCACTTAATTAACTATAGTAATGGAGGCCAATTACTTAATTTCTCTAGCATCAGTTTCACTGTTTATTAAAACATAGGTAAGTGTTAATGTGTATTAGTTGCTATTTTAACAACTAAATACCTTACAAATAAGTACATACAGTATTTTATAATTTCTTAATTACTTCTTAGGTTATCTCATTTAATGCCACAACCACCCTATAAAGCAAATCCTATCTGAATTCTACAGCTGAGGAAAGAAGGCCAAGAAAGATTGAATCTTTTAGTTTTAGGAGTATGAGAACCAACATCATATTTAACTTGGTCTTCTGCACATGGTGCAGTGACAAAGAAAAGGCTATAGAGTTCTTGAACTTAATGGGTTCAAATCCAGTACCATCAATTGTGAGCTGTGTGACTAGAAAAAAATGATTTAAGTGTTACCAACACTACTCTTCACAAAGGCATATTTATCTTCCTTAGGCAAGAATAAGGAAACAGAAATTTTCTTTCTTTTTTTTTTTTTTTTTGAGATGAAGTCTCGCTCTGTCGCCAGGTTGGAGTGCAGTGGCTCACTGCAACCTCTGCCTCCCAGGGTTCAAGTGATTCTCCTGTCTCAGCCTCTTGAGTAGCTGGGACTACAGGCACATGCCACCATGCTCGGCTAATTTTTGTATTTTTAGTAGAGACAGGGTTTCACCATATTGGTCAGGCTGGTCTCGAACTCCTGACCTCAGGTGATCCACCCACCTCACCCTCCCAAAATTCTGGGATTACAGGCGTTAGCCACCGTGTCCAGCCGAAACAGGAAGTTTGAGGTGAAGAGCATGTGACCTCTTTGATTTTCTCAGGAAAATAAATAATTGAAGAGGAATGTGAACAAGGCAGTTTTCAACTATGCTCTGTAGATGTGCTATTGGACACTGGCACACACAACCAAACATCCTCATAATGTTTTTTTGTTTTCTTGAGACACAGTCTCGCTCTGTCGCCCAGGCTGGAGTGCACTGGCGTGATCTTGGCTCACTGCAACCTCTGCCTCCTGGATTCAAGCAATTCTCCTGCCTCAGCCTCCTCAGTAGCTGGGATTACAGGCACCCACCACCACACTCAGCTAATTTTTGTATTTTTAGTAGAGACGGGGTTTCACCATGTTGGTCAGGCTGGTCTCGAACTCCTGATCCCGTGATCCGCCCGCCTCGGCCTCCTAAAGTGCTGAGATTACAGGCCTGGGCCACCGCTCCCAGCCAACATTCAAATTTTGTTTTTTGTTTTGTTTTGTTTTTTGAGATGGAGTCTCACTTTGTCACCAGGCTAGAGTGCAGTGGCGCTATCTCGGCTCACTGCAACCTCTGCCCTCCCAGTTCAAGTGATTCTCCTGCCTCAGCCTCCTGGGTAGCTGGGACACAGGCACATGCCACCACACCCAGCTAATTTTTGTATTTTTAGTAGAGACAGGGTTTCACCATGTTGGCCAGGATGGTCTCGATCTCTTGACCTTGTCATCCACCCATCTCAGCCTCCCAAAGTGCCAACACTCAAGTTTTAAAGCCCCTAGATTATACTTATCTCTACAGTGTCTTGCAACTATTTAAGATTAAACACTTTTTCTCCATCTTACTCACCAAACGCATATAAACTAGTCCTCTTCTGAGCCCAACAGCACTTCTTTAGTGTCTCTTTATGATACCACACATTCTTCAATATAAACATTCTAAACTCCATTCCCTCAATTAGATTTAGGCTCCTTCAAGGCAGGCAATTTGTCATTTACCTTAGTATTCCTCAACCCCAAGCACAATGCAAGCAAGCACTTTAGGGCAAAAAAATGTAAAATAAAAAGATAAGGGAAACGGTTAATCCTTACAATATATACTATATATACCAGCTACATGTAAAAAGAAATACAACTTACCCTAATACAGCTGAAACAACACAGCTTGGAGCAATGAGGACACAGGCGTGCATCCCGCAATTTCTCCATACAAATGAAACATCGGAAAACCTCAGCAATGCTCTGAAAACAATAAAGGATGTAAGATCCACCAGTTTAGGCTACTGAATCAAGAGTAAAAGGCAAGCTCAAAACAACTCAACATTTACATTTATTTTGGGCTGATATCTCTATTTTAACTATATTCCATATCAGGATTTGGTTGGTCAAGGTCCAGAGTACCTTAAAATATCTGGAAAATGTACTTCCATTTTTCTAAGCTTCATGATGATTCTATTCTAAGGAAAATATAGGAAATGCAAACACAGACTTATGTAGAAAAATTTTCACTGAAGCAGTAATTATAATGGCAAGAATCTAGGTACAGCCCGAATGTCCGAATATTAAGTAAATTATGGCAGTTACACAAAGATTAGTCACTAGAAATAGTTCTTCATCTAATGATAACAGAAAAATGCATATAATGTACAACAGCAAGGGAAAAAGGCCCAGGCACAATGGTTCATGACTGTAATCCCAGCACTTTGGAAGGCCGAGGCAGGTGGATCACTTGAGGTCGGGAGTTCGAGACCAGCCTGACCAAAATGGTGAAATCCCATCTCTACTGAAAATACAAAAATTAGCCGGGCGTGGTGGTGTGCGCCTGTAATCCCAGCTACTCAGGAGGCTGAGGCAGGAGAATCGCTTGAACCTGGGAGGCGGCGGTTGCATTGAGCTGAGAGGGTGCCACTGCATTCCAGACTGGGTGACAGAGTGAGACTCTGTCTCAAAAAAAAAAAAAAGGAAAAAAGGCAGACTATATGACTGAATACACAACATGAACTTTTTAACTTTTTCTGCAATTTCCCCAAAAGGTATAAACTGATTTTATAATTTAGAGGAAAAAGAAGTTTAAAAAGACATTTATCCTAAAGGCAGTGTACTGTGACCCAGAAAAAAATGAATTAAGAATCCAGAAATCTGAATTGCTGCCCTGATGTTAAAACCGACTAGCTACTTATTTGAACCTGAGATTCTGCCCCAATTGAAAATGCTGACGGTAGTTCAAAGCAATCTTGGGAACAACAACAACAAAAATATGTAAATACAAGAAACAGTATTATCTTTGCAAGTCTCAGTTTAATCAATTTAGGAAGTAACTGAAAAGTTTTTAACAAGAAAAAAGATACAATTAAACGTACTGTTATTGTATTGTATACTTTGTTTTTATAGTACTGACATTTAGTTTCACTCCATTCTAGAATTAAACCCTCCTAAAACCAAGATAAGTTTACAAAACCTTTATAATACTTTACATGAGGAATTAAGGAGAAAATTACTCATGAATCTCATCATGACTCTGTAGGGCCAGAAAGAACCTGGGAGATGCAGATTCTGTAACCTGCAACGGGGTGGACAAGACTACAGAATGACTAGTTTCAAGTGGAATATCCATAACATAGTTACCTCTTACTAAAAAGCAAGGATTTCCTATTTCAGTATCTGAAAGGTTCAAAATTTGATAATGATTATACAATTAAGTTCAATAAACAATCTTTTAAAAAATATTCCTAGCCTTTATTTACATATCCTACATATCCCAACTATTTTAACTCACAGCTTACAAGAATCAGTTATAAAAAGAACAGTTTGTTCTGGAAACTACACATGAGATAATATATGCTGATTCAATCTAGGAAGGAAGGGCAGAAGCTTGCAAAATGTGCCACTGAGAGGGAAAGATGATTATCCATTTGGAAGGAGATTTAGATCAGCTCAAGAACTCGTAAGGACTGGTGGCGAGGGGCACGGTACGTCCATTTGATGAATCTGCAGTTTTGCTCGGAATAGGATGCAGTTTGTAAATACCCGGTGGGGATGAGTACCTGTGCCAAGACATCCTTGAAAACTCCAGGATACGCACCACCTGACTGCAGAACAGTGAGCACAAGACACCCGGAGCGCTGCAGAATGAGAACGGCGTCCTTGGTACAGGGCCAGCCCTCTCCACAGCGGCAGGGGTGTGGGGTAGGGGTGCCCTACCGGAGGGAGGACATGGGCACGGCTCCCCGAATAAAAACCGCTCATCGGGTGGGGGCGGGGACTAACCACCACCCTCACAACCCCCTCACCTCCACGCTCTGTTCATCCATTGCCTCCGGCTCTCGGCGAGGCCGTTGGCGACCCGCGGGCTCCGTAGTCTGACCTCAGGCGCCGGCCCGAGGTCGCCAGATCAAATCACCTAGAGAAGCCCGGCGCCCACGTCAGGGGGCTCCGACAACAGCCCCACCTGCGTGCCCCATCGCTTCAGGTCCAGCGCCGACTACCCCCATTTCGCCATTTTTACCGGCGCGCCCGCCCCGGGGCGCAGAGGTAGGGCGAGCAGTGGCCGCGGCTCCTTTCTCCGGGCTCACCCGCCGGCCAGCAGCCGCGAGGGAATCTCGGCCCACGTGACGCGGGCGCGCGCGTACGGAACCGCCGCTGGAGTTTGGCAAAGAAGGCGCCGCAGAGAATTCGCAAACACCAACTGTAACCAGGACAGCTGGGGGCGCGGCGGCGAGAGAAGCCGCGAAGCGCATGCGCGCAGGACGCTGCGGGAGGAGAAAGGAGGGGAGGAGCGTGGAAGGTTCGCCTAGTTCCCGCGTTGCGGGGCGCACACGAGACTTGGCGACTGGCTGCCTCAGGGTTGCGTGCCTCCGGCCCCAGCCTGCGTAGGCGGTCTGAGCGTGGGGTCTGCTACGCCCCGCCCACCTCGGCGGAGGGCGGGAACCCACGGCTCTCAAACTTGCGCGCCAAAGACGGAGCCACCTGGCGCACTAGTGGAAAGCGCAGTCTTCGGAGCCACACCCCTAGGTATTCGGACTCTGAGATTTTAGGGTGGGGCCCAGGCCATCCGCGTTTTCACCCAACGTTGTGTGTGATTCGGTAGCAGGTGGCCTGTGGCCCGCACTTTGAGAAACCCTGGTGCACAGGGTTAGTGGTTAGTGGTTCTCTCTGGAAGAAAGAGTCTAAGGTTTGTAGGACTTGGGTTCCACCTACCAAAGCAAATTGAGTTAGAAGGCTCCAGATTGTGAAGCCTGAAGAGGTGTCATTTCTCATTTCGGTGGTGAGTGGACGGGACCACACACTGTGAAGACTTCATTCCCACATCCCACACTTCATTCTTGCCGCATAAGTAAGTTGTCGCAGTGGGACTACTGAAAGGGTATCAGCGATATTCATCTTTCCTATAAATGGGATCTGCTTTCTACAATTTCCTGCCAGAAGAGATGTGTAAAGATTGCAAGAATTGAAGGTGTGTGAGACAAAGAGGGCACATCAAATCCATAATTTGAGTTTAATTTTTCCTGTATTTATTGCAAACAACTAATTATACTTAATCGACCTGGAGTGCACATGTAGAGAATCACTAATAATCTAGAAACAAGTTCTTGAATATTAGACATTTAGGCTTATAGGTGGTGGGTAGCAACAATTTATTTTAACTACGTGGGTCATGAACAAGATATAATTTAGAAAGATTAATGTGAGACTGAAAAATGCTTTCAGTAAGAATTATTTGTGGTCTTTGAACTACATGGAGCTGATGCTTGTATAACGCTATTTTTACGAAAATGCCCTCAGTTGTACATTTTTAAATGGTTGATGGTTAATTTTATGTTATAACCATTTTACTTAAAATAATTATAGAATGCAGTGCTAGGCCGGGCGTGGTGGCTCATGCCTGTAATCCCAGCACTTTGGGAAGCCAAGGCGGGCGGATCGCCTGAGGTCAGGAGTTCGAGACCAGCCTGACCAACATGGAGAAACCCCGTCTCTACTAAAAATACAAAATTAGCCGGGTGTGGTGGCACATGCCTGTAATCCCAGTTACTAGAGAGGCTGAGGCAGGAGAATCGCTTGAACCTGGGAGGCGGAGGTTGCGATGAGCTGAGATCGCGCCATTGAACTCCAGCCTGGGCAACAAGAGTGAAACTCCGTCTCAAAAAAAAAAAAGAATGTAGTGCTGTACTTGGGATTCAGAGTAATGAGAAGTGAGTGGGCCTTGCTCTCAAGGAGCAGTATAGAGGACAAATAAGACAAATTGCAATACTTATATGGTAAATAGTAAGATAGATTCTTGTATGTTTGCCGAAGAATCCAAAAATGTTGAAGGACTTACTGCACTAGTTCATAATATCGAAGTTAGAAACCTGTACAACTGATTAGAGGCCGTTGGTTGCAAGCAAAAAGGATAACTTGAGCAAAATAAATAATTTAGTTGGCAAGATGCTAAACTCACATGGATTGCCAAGCCCTGGGGTTTGGGAGCCAATGGTCTGCTCCATCAGAATCCCTTAAAGGCTGACCTTGCTGCCCTCCCCACAAGAAAAATCTCCTAACTTCATATATATCCTTAAATAACTTAATGTTTTACAACTTGTTGTATTTGTATAACTTGCTGTTATAGAGTTTAAATGTCTATCAATAAGGAACTGATAAAAATGATTATATATTTAGCTGGGGGCATGGTGGTGCACACCTGTGGTCCCAGCTACTCTGGAGGCTGAGATGGAAGAATCATTTGAGCCCAGGAGTTTTGAGGCTGCAGTGATCCAAGATCACACCACTGCACTATGACCTGGGCAACAGAGCCAGATCCTGTCTTAAAAAAAAAAAAAAAAAGGTATGGTATAGCCATATAATAGATTACAGCTATTAAAAAGAACGGTGGATATGTGACGTAACAAAAATATATTAGAATTGAAGACCGGGCGCAGTGGCTCACATATCCCAGGACTTTGGGAAGCTGAGGCTGGCAGATCTCTTGAGCTCAGGAGTTGGAGACCAGCCTGGGCAACATGATGAAACCCAGTCTCTACAAAATATACAAAAGTTAGCAGGGGTTGTTGGCATGCACCTGTGGTCCCAGCTACTTGGCAGGCTGAGGCTGAAGGATTGCTTGAGCCCTAGAGGCTACAGTGAGCCATGATAGCGCCACTGCACTCTAGCATGGGTGACAGAGTGAGACCCTGTCTCAAATAAAATAATGACATGAAAAAAATTAAGTACAGCAGCAGTACAAGGCACAGTATCAACCTACTTTTGTTGAAAAAAATTTTTCTAATTTGTATACATGTAGAAATGCCTGAAGAAATTATTTGCAGATTACCTCTAGAGAATTTACATGCCTGTTTTTTGTTGTTGTTGTTGTTTGTTTTTTGGGGGTTTTTTTTGAGACGGAGTCTCACTCTATCACCAAGCCAGCGTACAATGGTGCAATCTCAGCTCACTGCAACCTCCACCTCCCGGGTTCAAGTGATTCCCCTGCCTCAGCCTCCCAAGTAGCTGGGACTACAGGCACATGCCACCACGCCCAGCTAATTTTTGTATTTTTAGTAGTGACGGGGTTTCACCATGTTGGCCAGGATGGTCTCGATCTCTTGACCTTGTGATCCTCCCACCTCAACCTCCCAAAGTGCTGGGGTTACAGGCGTGAACCACGCCTGGCCATGCCTGTGATTTTTAAATTCTTAAACATGTATTATTTATAACTTAAGACATAAAAACACTATAGTCACATAGGATAAAATAATTATAATCCAGATGAGAAACAAAAGATCTAAATTAAGGAGGTGTGAAGATAATGTAGAGGTTGTATACTATGACCATTTTAGAGAGAGAATTGTAGGTTTTATTGACTAAGAAGATAAAGGGATGCAAATTAGTTATACAGATTTTAATTCCAAACAACAGAATAGTGGCTATTAACAGTAAAATCAGTAAGTATTCTGGACATGTTTAATTTCAATATTCAGGTAGGGGATTTTATTGGAAATATGGATCTAGAGCTAGAGGAAGAAGTTGTATTTAGGAGTCATCCACAAAGAGGCATGAAAAACAAATGAAAATGTATTGAGAAGTGCATAGAGAAGAACAATGTTAAGGGGGCTGTGGGGGAAAAATAACATTTGGAAGATAACTGAAGGAAATCATAGAGGAAAAATAGTACAATCTAATTTTTCTCCCTAACTGAAAGCAAAACCACTTTTAATACTATTATAATAAGAATTTATTATGATCTCTCCATGATACTACCATTTTTTCAATCCCAACAATCATTATCACATCCCAGAGCCATCTCATGACAAAAACTTTCTAAATACTAATTGCCTGAACACTGAAGAAAATTAATATGTGATACTAAGGTGTAACTTACTTACTTCTCTGTAATTAAAAAAAAGGCGGCTGGGCCTGGTAGCTTACGCCTGTAATCCCAGCACTTTTCGAGGCTGAGGTGGGTGGATCACCATCAGGAGTTCAAGACCAGCCTGGCCAAGATGGTGAAAACCCATCTGTACTAAAAATACAAAAAATTAGCCAGGCGTGGTGGCGGGCACCTGTAATTCCAGCTACTCGGGAGGGTGGGGCAGAGAACTGCTTGAACCTGGGAGGCGGAGGTTGCATTGAACTAAGAGCATACCACTGCACTCCAGCCTGAGCGACGGAGTGAGACTCCGTCTCAAAAAAAAAAAAAAAAAAAAAAGGAAGCTTTCTGTTCTTGAAATACTCAAACTAGACAGGACAATTTTAAGTGAAGCTGTTCTCACAACCCTGTTTTTCAGCTATTGTAAGTTTGTTAATGGACAAACATGCTCATAACTGAAATTTTAAAATTACGTAAAAGTATAATTCTATAACCTGCAGAGAACATTTGATACATTTTTCCTAGTCCTTTCAATGCTTAGTTTTTATTACATGTATGTAATATCACTTATTGAAGGCTTACTAAATACTGAACCCTGTATTAAAACACTTTACTGTCTTGCCTTCCAAACATTCTGACACTCAAAAGTTAAGTGATCTGCCCAGGGTCATAGCTAGAATTTAAAACCTGCTACTTACATCTCAGATATGACTCCAAAGCCCAATCTTCATTACAAAACTGCAATACCTGCTTTCCCTCTCCCCCACTTAGCATAGTTTCAGCATTTCCCAGAACATTAACAGTAATAATTATAATTTATTGGCAACTCGACCTCTTATTGTATACATACAACATGATTTATTTTCCTATTCACCTAGTACTAGCCAAATGTGTATGTACACTGCTATCATAAACAACCCTGTGATTAACATCTTTGTATCAAGATCTGCCTCTACTTTGAACAGTTTCCTTATTGCCAATAGTTATTTTAAAATACATAGTTATTTTAAAGGGAAATTGACACATATAACACACTCACACAAAATTGGCAAGTAGCAGGTAAGTGCTCTTCTAATTTCAGTTTCTTAGCTTTCATGTAGAATGAACCATTACAGTAATAAAGGCTGAAGGAAAACAAAGGTATTATTGAAATACAACAGGGACAGTCTAAAACAGCATCAGAAAGCAAGTTCATGCTGCTCAACATTAGCAGGCAAGGGAAATAGGGAAAAAAAATACGCAAAAGTGGCTATCACAGAAAAGCCAGGTTATTACTTTAGGTTTTGTGGGAGACTACAGGTCACATAAAAGCAGTCTCAACAATAATGTGGCCACATGCACAATCAACATTTACAAAATGAAATTATATATAATGTGTAATACAAATATTTTA